CAAGAACATTAGGCTTTTTCCTTCTCAGTCCCCATTTCTTCATGTGCTGTGTAAGTATAATCAACCTCAAGGGTCCTAACATACGTCTTTTAGGACTTAAGATTCTAAATTGTATTTCTGTCAAGTCCATCTAAAATTTTCAGTTTAGGCATTTCTTTCAATCCACAGCACTCATTAATTTTTTTATCAGATACAAAAGTAATGATAGTTTAAGAAAACCAAATCACAACTTTTGATGCTCAGTTTATAAACAGACTTAGACAAAAACAAATAAATTTAATCTTTTGAAGCCTTGGATGAAAAACACCATCAGCCACATCTGCAAAAGGACTCTGAAGGAAGAGACTTTCACTGAAGTCAGAACCTTAGATTTTGAAATGGACCTCAAAGACTAGACGGTAGCTCAGAACTGCTACACTTACAAATATCTGCACACTGTGCTGAAGACGTGCAACAAAACTCTTATAAAACAAAAATAATTACTGCCTATTTCAAAATGAAGTTTCCAAATATATTTGGGTTTGTTTACACTTTTTAAAATTAGTGCCAGAAAGTTCAGCAAAAGAACCACTTAAAGGTATCTCAACTTAAGAATGCTACTATTTGGGAATCCCACACAAGAAGTTAAAATTCACTCTGATATTCCTTGTTTCACACTGTCAATAAACAACCTTTGATGGAATTTAGTTCTTCACAGTGTCTGCTTTAAACTAAAGTTGGGTTGTAAGCTGAGACATCCACATGCTGATCAGCTAGCTGCTGGCTGAGAATAATTTTCAGTGAACATGAAGTGGTGTTATTGTCCTGATCCAAGGCTCAAACACCATTTCATGTATTCCTTTTTTGTTTGTTTGTTTAGGGGAACAAGATCCGGCACAGTGGCTTTACTATTTTCCAATAGTTAAAGATGACAAGAATTTAACTAAAATTCCATATTCCTGATGTCCTGAAAAGGCAGCTGATCTGGCAACATCAGCTGTGGTTGACAAGCAGGTCCACCCTGTGAGCAGAGCACCTGGGCGCTTGTGTGTCACAGTTCCGAGGGTTCCCCAGTCCTTTTCTGGTTTTTTTTGGTACTGGGGATGGAACTCGGGTCCTTGCCCTTGCGTAGCAGGCATCGAAACCACTGAGCTAAATCCCCGGCCCATCCCAGTCCTTTTCTGAACTTAGCTGCTGGGCCCTTGCAGGCACCTGATTTTGAACACTAACTTCCATTTCTGGTCAGGATGAAGTAACAGGATCTGGATTTACTCTCCAGTCACATTTACTAGAACACTAGACAAAAGAGATGAAACAACCGTTCTCAGGTAAAGAACAACAGACGGTGTGGGGCCTGTGATTGCTGGTAGAAGGCAGTTCTATAGTACTACCAGTCCCTGGTAGAAGTGAGTCTGCATCACCTCAGCTTTCTGTCTAGAGGTGGCATTCATACTGGAGCACAGAACAGGAAACCCAAACAGGGTCTTAAGGCTTGAGGAAGACCCAAGGTGGTCAGAATATGACATACAGAGTATCCAGAGTGAGACAAAGGTAAAGAGTAAAAGAGAAAACTTGGTAAATAAACAAACAAACAAACAAGTCAACCTATGATCTCAGCACTCTGGGAGGCTGAGGATCCCAAGTTTGAGCCCAGCCTGGGCAACAGTGATTTAGTGAAGCCTGTCTCAAAATAAAATTTTAAAAAGGGATGGAGATGTAGCTCAGTGCAAAGACTCTGGGTTCAATCCCTAATAACACAAAAACAAAAACTGAAAGTCATACATCTATTTACATGTATAAGGACAACACCATTAGATACTCCCAAACAATATCAACATCTAGAGGGTAAAAGCGATGCCTTTAAAGTTCCCAAAATGACTTCACTTTGGATTTCTACAGCCAGTCAAACTGAGTCAAGTGTGAATGTAAAACAGATATCTACAGATACATTAAATCAAAAAATTATACCATCTTATACATGGCTTCTCAGGAAGCTACCGGAGGACAGGCTCTTGCAAAACAAGGAAACAGAACCAAAGAAGGGAAGACACAGGCTCCTAGAAGCAGGAAAGTCTACATGGTGAAGAAGGCAAAGGGAATCTCCAAGATGGCAGCTGTGTAGGCCAGAGAAAGCAATTAGTCTATCTTGGAGCAGGAATCCTATCTACCAGCACAGAAAACTTTCAAGAATGTCCGAAGCTAGTGAGTAAAGAAAGAAGAGTGAACACTCATTATCTAGCAATATGAAGACAAACTCCAGACAAATAGACAAGTTTTAAAAACTGATTGTTTGAGGGAAGTGGGGAGTGGGTGAAGTGGAGGTGATTCGAGGATGAAGCACCTTCAGGACAGCTCTTCAGTACTGTCCACTGTTTCAATCACATGAATGGATTCACTGGATGAAAATGCAGCCTAACTTAGATAAACAAAGGTGCCTGCAGTCAAAACAGAAAGCCATGTCCCTGACTTCATTCATGCTGGCCACCCTCACAAACCTCCTTCGAGAATCCAGCTCAGTCAGTGTCATCAACCACTACAGGATCATTTTAAGGGAGAATTTTTTCTGTAATGGTGACTGCATCTATTGTGAGTTGTCAGGGAGAATACTCACTAGTCACAGAGCTCTCTGTTTGAGGGCCTCTAAGAAAAATGGCTGAATGATCTTCATTCTGAGATTATTTGGGGAGCTTCTGACTAATTGGATGTCTGTATATTATGTGCACTGCAAATTGTGAGACTGACTGTCTCCACATTTAGAAAGCAGACAGCCTAGTTGGGCCCACCCACAGCTGGTATGAGGTCTTCAAAACAATCCTTTGTCTTCATTCTGCTTCATCTCACCTCTACCTCAACACTTTGTTCATCCTTCTGTTTTCACTGTCACTTTAAATTTGTCACCCTGTATTTTATGTCTCCTTGTAAGCTGTTATCTTAAATCCTCTTGGAAATGACAAAAGGATAGATGGAGGGATGAACAGATGGGAAAACAGCAACCCACTTTCAGAGACAATTCCAAGAATGTGTAGAAGGGTGCATATCAAACTAGTAACAGGTTTCCGGGAAAGGGAGAGATGGGAGGAGCAGGGAGCCCAGGGAACTTTATTTGCACTTCTGACTTTTTTTTTATAGCAAGAATACACTTTTGTGCTATGTATAAAGATAATTTAAGTATAACTTTACAACTCTCACAATACTATGATCACAAAAATATACCATGCTGATGAGAAGCTTATCACCTGCCAGCACTGTTCTAAGCTCATTATATGTATTTTCTCAGTAACCATATTTGATACTATTATCATCCCTATTTAACAAATGAGGAAACTGAGGCAGAGAGGTTAAACGCCATCACTAAGATTAAAGTGGTGGAGTAGATATTTGAACACTGTCCAAGCTGTTAATAAGTATACAATATGGCCTTTGGGGTTATGATGGGGTGATAAAGTTGTCACTGAGATGCTAAAAACCATTGTAAATATTTCCACGTGTTAAATCATGTGGTCTTCTCGTTTACCCTACTAATGAAACACTGTCATTACCCAAATTCTGCAGATGAAGAAACTTTTTTTTCTGGTACCGGGGATCGAACTTGGGTCCTTGCGCTTGTGCAGCAGGCGGCGGAACCACTGAGCTAAATCCCCGGCCCAGAAGAAACTTTGAATAGTCAGACCAAAGTCCTATAGCTAAAAACCAGCCAAGGGCAGGTTTTAAACATAAGAACATATGCACCAGAGCACTTGTGCCCACTGTAACATAAATACCTGCCATTTTCTAAAATGCTGAAAATAGGACTTTATTTATTTTAAGGTTAGACATTATATTTCTATCATGAATAATGCCACCTTTGAAAGTGTTTGCTTAAATCTTACTGCACATAATACTATTACAAACAAAAAAAGTTGCTGATAAAACTCTTCACATTTACCTGAACCACACCCATGCAGGAATCCAAAAATATTGATCCTTTTGGTTCCTTGGAGATCTTTTCATCTTTGTAAAAATTCAAATTGTAGGATCCATCACCAAGTTGAATCAGGTGGAAAAATCGTCTCTTAAATGACTGAGGGAAAATGACACACACAGCTATTTTTCAAAATGAAAAAAAGTCACAATCTCTACCAATAAACCACAGCTACACAAATCCATAAAAACTCTTTTCATTCTCGCCAAAATAAATCTAATTCCAGAGGACATTCCAGGTAACTAGACTACCTGAAGATTTTCCATTACATCTAATGTCTGACCGAATTTCAATTCTGAGGAAGGTGTTCACTTTAACATCCACAGGTCATTTTTCTTAACCACAGAATTTGAGATTTTACATAACTACCAAAAGCAGTGCACGGAGTTCAACTTGGGATGCAGACTCTCAAATCCCCGAGCTTCTGGCTCACACAGAATAGGAACGGTTTTCTGCCTCGTGACACTGATTTTCCAGCCTCAGGATTATGACAATCAGCATTTCCTGATTTAATGTTCATCTCCCTATTCATTCTTACCTCTCTTTCATTGTTTCTTTTATTTTTCCAGATCTTCTCCCCAAATAACTTAATTAGTTTTTTACTTTTCTCTTTGCAACCCTCTCCCAAATTAACCATTTTCCTTTTTAGTCCTCCGGTTCTGCTCTCCTTGCCTCTGTCGTGGTAGACATGCACAGGAGTGCTTAGGCTTAGTGTGTAACACAGCCCCTCCATGGCACTCTATGAGGTAGCACAGAGCTCCGCACAGTCAGCACAGAGAAGAAGGCCTCTGGCCGTGACTGGACCCACACCAGCCCAGTGATGGTCTCTTTGTGCTCCTGGAGAGGGCAGTGAAGGCAAGTGAGTGGACAGGGCTGTAGAAATAGGATGCTATCACCAAAGAAGCATGTAGTAACCAGACAATATCCCTTTTATCAGGAAGAACAGCACATCCATTCACCTTGAGCATTATGCTCAGGGCCTATAGCAGACAAGGTTTCATGAGAGGGGAAAGCAGGGTGATGAGCCTCCTTACCCTCGTGGTCACGCTGATTGCACTGTTCATGTTGCCTTTGTACAGCCACCCATGCTTGGTGATCCCACCCTTCTGAGAACCAAGGGAAGCAGCATCCTAGGAGGGAAGGAAAATACCCCTACAGTCAATCTTCCACTATTACCTGTTATTTGTTGTGAGTTTGGTCAATGGGAAAACCATTTT